CAGTGCTTGAACGGACTACCGCCGAGGTTAGCGGCCATCTCACACCAACCTCCTACTCTTCTCTTCACAGCCTGACTTTCAATTCAGCTCTGAACCTCATCCCACTTATAACCCCTCAGCACAGACCACGCAGAAAATGCAGCTCTTCCACTGTTGTCCCAATCATCTCCATGGGAACATGCCTGTCTGCAAATGTTGTTTTGTTGCCTGTTTTTAGGTCACTGCCCAGTAAAGGCTTTACACTCCACAATATTGAAAACATTGTGGAAGCAATTTTGAATCAATTCAATGCACTTCCAATTCTGGCAACCCATCTGTCTATGACAGATCTTCACGTTATATTTCAATCCCTTCCTCAATTATTGTAATAATTAACTTATAACTAACTAAATTTGTGCAACAAAATTCTTTTGAAGAGCTAATAGTCACCAATGTGATCAGAAAATTAGCTGCCTTTTATGGGACCTGGAAATTCATTACCTTGTTCATAAGAGCCTACACAATTAATTTCAACTGAGATAATTATTTATAGAAACTAAAACTGTAATGAATTCATTTTGACCTAATGCAGGGGGGGGGGGGAATAAATACCATTCCCACCTTCCGCATTAATATTACATACATTCCTGGAAATTAAAAAGAGAAACTGTAATTGTTGCAGGCCTGTTCAAAATATTTACTGTGTACACTGATGTGAAAGCCATATGGGTGATACTGTCTGACGTTCAAAATGGCCACAGGGCAGTACTTCTGCATATTTTGTGGTGTTTAACAGACTTGTATTAATACAAGCTTCTTTCATTCATGGAATAAGACAATTATTTCCATGTTATGAACTAAGACTGTTATGAATTACAACATTTGAATGCAAGAAAGTTACCTCCTTTCAGAAAAAGTGAGGGAATATTATACAGTTCATTCAGTCAACTGCATAGGATTTGTATAATTCTCCTAAGACATAGAACTAAGCCATAAATTTCACCTTCAGGAAACAAAGGTGAACAACAATAGGTACAAATCTTGTCCCAACACAATACAACAGTTAAAAGTTAATCAATGGGAACCAATACCTATATCTTACATCACAATTAAGTCTATTATAACCTCATTTAAGCCATGGAATATTTCAGGAACATTGGAAAATCGACGTAAGTCATAACTCTACAAAGTCCAATATCCTTCCATCTAGTTAACACTGTTTATCATTCTCTCGCTAGTAATAAATCTCACATACATGCACGTGCACACACACATAATCATCCCATCACTGATGCAATTGTAAAGCAAAGGGCTTATCAATAATGTACAGCTATTTACTGCATACTGCAAATAATTTCAGTTACTGCACACTCACTCCTACATTCACACATCATGATACTGGTCTAGCACAACCGAGAGTATCCACCTAATGCTGTGATAAATATGCCATGCTCTAACAGATTAACAGTAATACTGATTGTAAGATTGGTACATGTTGGCTCATACACTGCAGTACATACTGTATATGGTTTGTATTTAAGTGTCTTTCAGTCTCTCATGTTCTCATCTCTTTTTTTTTTTGGCAAAGCAGTTGTATAATTGCACTTGAGATATATCATGTCATACACATGTAACACACTATTTCATGATGTAGTCATATCCAATTAACAGTGCCACATGCACCGAAGAGAAAGTCCTAGGTATCTGTAACATTCATTTTACATACAATCAATTTATGGATAATAATAACACATGGATATATATACATATGCTGCTTAATACAAAAATTAAGTTGACTTTTCATTATTATGATATGGTAAAAAGTCGGTCCATTGGTTAACAGCATTTTATCCTGTGATAAGAAGCAAATACATGCTAGCGTATTCTACAAATAAATACAATAACAGAAGCTACTAAACAATTTAACTTTCATTCACACCTTAAATGTCACAACACTAGAGAAATCAACCTCCAACTGTAGAATATCAACTGCAGCTGCACAATTTGAATTCTCTCTAATATAAAAGAAGAAATAACTGCATGTTACTATTCATTATTCCAAACAATATTTCTGGAAACCTTGGATCCCTTCCTCAGTTTTAGGCTTTGGCGTAAAAACGTTAATCGAGCTCTCTGACAGACATCAAGGATTATGTACAGCCTTCCGACTACAGTCGACCTGAATAAACTGGCTACTGATTGGTGACAATTATCCTTTTCTTCTGTTGCATAAATTACTGCAGTCTGATTACAGCTCCATTTTTTTCGCTTAGTGGGGGGTGGAGGCCAACTGGGTCCACTCGGCACGGCGGCCACAGATTGGTCTATTGTTGCCCCGGGTGATTATGATGATGAAGAATTTGGTGGTATGAAGATTGACAGGGGAAGCCTTAGTAACAGGAGAAAACCCGCCCCGCACCACTTTGTCCACCACAAATCCCACTTGATCAGACCCGGGATCGAACCCAAGCCGCCATGGTGGGAAGCCAGCGACTAACCGCTTGAGCCATGGCGCGGCCATTACAGTTCTATGCTAGTACATCCCACAAGCACTCTATCATAGATTGAATGATGGTTTACTTAAAAAAAATTCTTGTGGTTCAGTGTTCCCAAACATTAATCCAACAATTAGTGATATCGACCAAAATTCTCCTGGTCCATCAAAGTGAAAACCAAGAAACTGAAAAAGCTTTTCAATTAATAAACAATTTTACACTTACTTACTAATTTATTTGTACAGTTTATAGCTTACGTCCACCTATCAAAGCATTTTAATTAGTGACAGATTTTGCAATTCCGTTCAATGTAAAAGAAAGGAAAACAAAATCCTTATTATGCAATACCTGCATCATTACTTTGTGGCCTCTGCCAACCTGGAGGCATACAATACATAGGGTGCTGCTGTTTGCAAAATATTTCCTAGTCCAAAAGTCCAGTAACATATGTCTGCTGGGTTACATCGACCCTAAATGAAAGGGGCAAAAGCTATTTTCAGTCTGGATAGTGGGAATAATAATGAGTCTGAAGGCATTCCTTTTCAAGACTCTTTAACATGAATTCAGAGCGTATAAGAAAAAAGGCTTCCTGAAGTAGAGGGCACCATAAGTTGTTGAGAACCCAGAGTAATGTCAAGTTAAAGAATGTGCCAAGTCATTCTTCAACTCTAGTCAACCCTAATATACAATGCTCCTGTCATTTTTGAGGTAAGAATGTGAAAGAGCTAACATTTATTACACTGGCAGTTTGAACCGAAAACAAAAATACTGTCTGCCTTTACAACACGTGTACAGGATGCTTCTCAAATTGTTCTGTTTAATGATGTCTGAGTAATGACTTCATTAAATCAGGGAATATGCAGAAAATTTAAAATGAGAATTTGATTGCAGCATTTTCAGTTAACAAATGCAGAATGTAGTACTAAACTTAATGATCAATTTTTGTAAGCTAAGACTGATCTAAGACTCTAACTATATATTCTATATTAGCTGAGTATTTTGAGTCACATTTCCTGCGACAGAAGATGCATTTACCTATCATTACAGAAATTTATAATGCCAAATTTAAGGATAAGCATACAAATTATTTTGGCATCTAGTGAACTTCTGCAGGGTATGAAAACCCAGACACTGATAAAGACTTCCTTAAATTGTGGAGACCTTGGTATTATAGAATCATATAATTGTTACAGAAAATTAAACGAGACATATAGCTGCTTGACTTGTTAATATCAATTGGTTCTCTGTCTTCTCAATATCTCCTTTTCATACATGCAAGGCTCCAGAAATAAGAAACTGCTCTTTATAAACGATGATCACTTCAGATTCACTCCTGATATGTCTGGATATGACTGCACCATAATCTGATGGACGTACAGCAATTAGAATATCAACTAATATTATTTCTTTCAAAGAAATATCATTTATAATCCATGTACTGCCATTAGGAATGCTGTCTGCTCTCTTTGTGCAAATAATTGGCACTAGTCATGAACACACAAGTACACAATGGAGCTGATAAAGTTGCAGGCTCTATCATGATTTGGGTGTCTTACAGAAATTACTTGATATCTGAGTTTAAAAAAGTACTGTAAGGCATCCATAAGAATGTGGATTGCAACTGCTGGCAAAAAATACAGTAATTAAGACACTGGTTCAACATTGTCCATTAATGTTAATAAAAAGCTCATCTTCTTTGTCTTGAGCAAGTAATAAAACCCAGTTAAATACTTTCAGGATCATCACTTTCTCCTTTTAATTGCTCATGCCCGATATTATTACTCTTAAACCTCAATTTAAGTCTGTGTGTTCTGTAACTTGCAGACAAAATAAAACATGGCAGTGCTGGAGTAAATATAAATTCACTGTTTGGGGGCAATAGCTGCAAAGCATAACTTATGTCCATAGCACTGTACACAGTATTGCACTGATCTGCACTTTAAGAGTGCTTTCATGCCAATAATATGTTTCAATGGATTTGGCATCATAATCACTCTGCCTGATACCTGTCTTTCATGAAGACAAGACTGACTATAAACTTTTACGTATTTCTGGCATTACTGAACTCTGTGAAGGAATGATATTGTACCATGATAAGTGAATCAGAATTAATTAACAATCAGTCCTGCTTGAGTCCTTCAAACATTAGCACTGTGCAGTGACATATCTTCAGTAAATATTGTGTATGCTCAGCTGCACACATCCACAATCCGTATAACCTTCCTTTATTTAGTCACTACAGTTTTGTGTGCAAAAGTAAACTACTTGTTTTGATGAGTCAGTGTGATCTTGTCTGAAAATATGAAATCTCAGAATGTAGACTGACCGTCCGTTCTGTCCAGATCCCATTGTTAAAATCAGTTCTTGATTGTTGAGAAATCACTGGGCATGGAAATATGCTGCCACTTACCATTTCAGTACACTTTGCCTGTGACAAGTTTCCGTCACATTTTGTAGCCAAGAGCAATGGGAATGGGAAGGAAGAATTTAAGAGTGAAACTAGGAATATAACAAGAAGGCACAAACCTATACACTGCTGACCCTTCTTGGAGAGGGCACGACATCCTGCAGATGCTGAGGCCATGTCATCTTCAGTAGTAGTGCGCTGCACTTCATTACGAGCATGATCTGTGTTGTCCACTTGATGAAACTCCTTCCACACTCCCCCTTTAATGGGTACCACATCATTGCGATCGGTGTCTTCTTCACCATTAGTGAGCATCTCACTTGGCTTCAGGTCCAGTCTGCTACCGGTAACTTGAACATTGCTATCATCACCTTCATGCTCATCACCTTCAGGTGCTGTTTCTGTGCCATAGAAAACTAGCTTCCAATCTGTCAGGGTTCCTGCAGAAACAAATACACAAAAAATATTAGTACCCTATCACTACTGTTCTAATAGTCAAAGCATAGAAATTAAGCTCAATTGGAGTCATTAAGTCAGTGCATGGTGTAGAAAACAAATCAAGTATTGTATTCAATGCATCAATACTGAGTACGAATTTAAGTTATTTGTGGCATCATTCACATGCCCCATAGTTATGATTCAGCTCTGGGACACTTAATTGCAATCAACGGTTAACCTGACTTCACCAATTCATATACACATTAAAGCCCTGTATGCTGCTAAGGTACAGTGTACTACATTTCTATGAGCCCTATGATAACCAGAACTGAGGTACCTTAATTTCAGAATATGGACATCCACTGTTAAAGTAAGTGATGCCGATGTATGTGTGAATACAAACAAGAATAAAAGATATTTATTTAGGTTTACTGCTTTGCATTTACAATAGAATTCCGGTTATAGTTCTTGAGGAGAAAGATGGACACTAAATGGAATGGACTCTGCTCAGTGATCAGACAAGCTGATACTGAATAAAGCTCTAACATGTTTGTTTCCATCACTGGGAATATACCAAGCTATGTCACTTGTGGATCGGTGACCACCTCACTCTCCTTTTGGCCATTTCCAAGCCATGATTACTGGCTCTTCTGGAGCTACAAACAGCTACAGTGACCAGTCTGTCACTTATCACACAGTCCTTGATGATGGATACAGAAAAAACAGTGACGTGGCCAAATGCCCAATAAGAATACAGGTTCTGCATGTTTCAAAGCTATGAGCACCCTTGAACACATCTGTACCCCCATTTACAGGCATAGAGCAAAGCCATTCTGGATGGAAACACCTCTGTGAAATCTGGAACTACAATTTTTTCAAGAAATTTAACTTAATTTTGCCCCAGACTAGACTCCTCAAACTAACAAATGCCAAAATATATGACATATGGTTTGGTAACCTGTGATAAAATATATACTTTAAAGTGTGTTGAAATCATCCATATACTTCTGGCCATCAATACTGACTCATGATACAAACAGTTGTTAAGTCTGAATAAAACAAACAAACAACTACATTTCCTGAAAAATGCAGATGAATGAAGTGAATTTTCCTTTCACCATACCAAACATAATAACAGTGATCTATTACAAACGTTCCTCTAAAATTTATTATTTAAGTTGACTGTATTTCGAATGTGAAATGCATGTTATGTGGTTTCTCAAATGGATCTATTTGTAATATGTAATATATTCACTTTGAGAACTTGTTTTGTTATGATTTTTACAATATCTCCACAGGTTATGTATTTCTTTCATAGGCTTGATCTGGCCTATATGACCATTAACAGTGAAGTCCACGAAGGTATTCAATTTTATTTATTCTACCACATCTGTAATATTCAACCTTTACATTCATTATAGATACAGAAAAACCTGTTTGCGGAATGGGTAATAAATACTATACATTCACTGCTGGCATCTATTTTCCAGTAAAATAATCAATCCTTCAACATGTTTACATGCAATTACGAGTATAACGGGCAATTCATTAATGTATATGTCAGCTGCAACATACATACTTATAAGGCAAATCTACTTCCAGTCATGTTGTCTTAGTAGTCCTCATAATTAGCCTTCCTTCCTCGGTCATGTGATGTACACACTGTAATCTTCCAAAAGTATCAACCTATATAAACATTTCTGTTATGAATTTGCCTTGAAGCAAGCTAGTTATGAGGAACAATGTCGAAGATATATATAAACTGAACAAAATTCTGCTTATGCATACTTAAACATCTATGTCAATCATGCTACAGCAAAATACCAATATATAAAATTATTACATATACAATTAAATATAAAGTGTGCACAAATGAAAACTGTAAAGAAAATAACATTACCCAAGAAATGTGAATGACACAGTTCTATAAACTTTACTTTACAAACACAAAACATTGTAATGTCTCTTAATTTGTGTCTTTTTCATTGTAGAAATTAATGAATTACACGTCTCTCATAAAATAGCTTGTATCTGAGTGCGTTGATCTCTCCCAATCTCTAACTCACATGCAACTTCTGTTTATTTCTAATATGAACTGGTTTGATGTCCTAGCTTGTCAAACTTAAATGGTGGATTGTAAGAGTGAGAATGCATTAAGCCAGTTTAGTTGTTTGCTAGATCCACTGCAGGTGGTAAAGATTAATATAAAATTATGAATGAAAGGCATGGACAAAACAGATGCATTGTAATATGCAGCAAAAAGGAATATTCAAGAATATTTACATATAACTTTCCCTGGAAATGTGAAAAATTCATTAAGTCTACTCATGTATTCATTAACGAAGTTCAAAATAAAAGCCTAAACATTCATTTCATTTTTGTCTAAATTCAAGACTCTTCTAATATCTTACTCATTACTGTTGAGGTTATAACGAACATCTACACATTCAGAACAAAACCTAAACAGAATATTAAATCTTGCCCTAAGTAGGTCATATTCTTTGATGACACTTTCTCCATTTTACTGCTTAATTTCTTAGATGAGGCCAGAATCACTTCAATGTAGAATGGACTGTACAAAGTCACTAACAGAGTAGGAGTGTACATGTTAGTTAAGCATTAGCTCAAGTTCTTTAATGCAATGCATCATCCCTTTCAGTGCATGTTCTGCGTAATTTTGACACAGGTATAATGCAGTTTCAGCTGCACCTACCTCATGTTAACATATGTTAAACCGAGAGATCAAGGCTTAAAACTTGGACAGTAAAAATGCTTGTAAAACGATTATACACACAAAAAACTTAACAACTGATAAATTACAGATACAGTCTTGTTCAGAAGAAATTGTGATTTAGGATTAAATCAAAGATTTACTGCTTGGTCATTACAAACAAAACACAAACACATTCAGCTACTCAAGCTACTTGAAGGACTTACAAACAAGAGCAAAGCAAGCAAAGGGATAGTAGGCAATATAAACAGAGAAAGTGTGAATGTGAGTACATAGAAGTAAGTATCTAAGAACCCTTGCCTTCACCCTGGTGGGGCCGTGAGTTCTCCTGAATGAGTTCCAAGTTAGGCACCAAGTTAGCAGCAGGATGGTGGAATGAGGATGAATCTATTCTGCCTTTGTTAGTAAGAGAATACAGTGGATAAACTTTTTGGATTTTAGGATACTGTTTGAATATATCTGGCACTTTAGGTGGGGGATCAGAAGGTGATTCTAATAAGATTGTTAAGTCACTGCCTGGTGTTGTGGTGGTGGAGGGAGCTGTAAATGTGGTTGTGGTAGTTAATGTTGTTGTGGGTGGAATGACTGAACTGGTGGGTGGTCTGGATGATAATGAAAGAGGGTGACCTGGGAGGGAGATATTGGTATATAATGCAGAGGAGAGAGTAGTGATCATGGTGTTGGCAGTGGTTGCACCCGGTCTCTTGGAAATGGCAGCAGGAGATACAGTAGTTGTGCTCTTCAGTCGATGTCTAAGAATGGCTGGAGAAGTTGGATGCAGGACCTTAAAAACAGACTTATGGGCAGGAGTGGTTGTTGTAATGAGTGTCCTTGGGGGTGTCAACTTTCCTGTCTTGGTACTGTTTTTTGGGGAATTTTTGTAGTGTTTCACAGGAGACATAACGTAGGGTGGGGGGACAAGCACCAGAGATGGGCGGGCAGGTTTTGATTGTGATGAAATTCCAGTTTTGGTAACACGCAGAGGAGGAATAGATGGATCGTGACTTCCGTGTCCATCAGGTGTATCTGCAGTACCGTAAAATATAAGAGCCCATTCCTGGAGAGTGGCACGTCCTAGTGGTGAGAAAGAAGCGACTAGGGATTAATCAGCCACAGTCAGGGTCACATTATACTGCTGTAATCACTGCCTAATTGATTCTAAATTAGAATTTATATGATACTTACTGCTGGCATCCGTAGATAATCACTATGTAAAACACTTAGAAATAAATGACTTTAGTTTAACAGTGCACTTTTCATGTCAGCCATAAAATGTGATAATAGGAAAAAATGATGAGGCAAATAGTATTTATACATTATACATTTTTAACAGTTATAAAACTGGTTACAGCTAATTACGTTAACATTTCCTTTCTTGAATGAAAATCATTCTAGCATATTTCCTATGAAATACGGCACAAGTAAGGGGTAGTAGCTTTTAATGTTAAAATGTGTTATTGCCATGATATGAAATTAGTCAAAACAGCACGAAAGTAATTAAAATACTGGCTCTGTGTCATGTCCACCGAAGTTATATCAATGTTGTGGCCTATGGACCAACGATTTTCTTAAATTTATGAAGCAAAGGATAAGACATCTCAGCATAACCTATGAAAGTTTGATATCTGATGTTAAATTAATTTTTATTATTAAATCAGTGCAGAAATGCAACATTTTAGACTACAGTGTCACACTAATATTTATCTTCAAACAAGATTATTTTTGAGAGGAATATACAAGCATTATCATAAATTAGGAGCTACATTAGAGCTAATAAAAAACAAAAATATAATTTAAAGAAATTCACTTTTATTTTGAGAAGCAGTGTCAAATATATTTCTGAGAGCCCTAATTTATCCAAATAAATTCAAGAATTGTTATGACTTTCCTATTTGAGTGAATGCCCTTGCTTTTATGTATTAAAAAAAATTATCAGCTTAAAATTATAGTATAAGATCTAACCCATAAATATAATAAGCTCAGGTTTGAAAGCATTCTAAAGCATTTTATAACCAGTACATATATCAATAATGACATATTTCCTGACAAGTACTTCAGAATATTTGTATAAAACCTAACCATTTAACCCAGTCTTCCAACAGTAGTACCTATTTGAAGGTAACTCTCAACAGTTTTCATATAAGCAACTTACACGAGACTTCTTAAAATGCAACATCTAGCGCTTTCTTTGTGATGAGCATGAACAGTTACATGTTATGTAAAACACATATTATATTCACTACAAATTATGAGAAATGTAATATTAAATTCAAGAGTTTCACTGGACATTGAACTATGCACAACAAATGTTACAAAGAGAAATCTCCCTGTCCCTGTGAGGGATTCAACCCTGGTTTCACAGCCTGTAGCCAGTCACCTTCCTGACTAAGTTATTTTAAAACTTTACTGTTTGATAGATATGATTTACACTGAGGCAAAATGTTGAAAACAAAATGTGAGATGTCAGGCTCTCATGGCAATGATTATGAAGATAACTGTCTCCTGATTGTGACACTGTGTAGATAGGTATCAAAGTTTTGGAGACACACACTGCCTCCATGATCAGAATAGAATATAGTGGCATCCCTTTCTTCAGAATGTTGATATCTACCAAATTATATGGCATCACAACCCAGCAGATGTTAATCTTCATTGAATACTGAATTTACATATTACTTTGTGCTGATATTATTTTCTTGAACATATATATGGTGATCTGCAACACTATCAACTTAAGAAAACTATATGATCTGAAAAACAAATTCAATTTGTAATAAACTGAGATGGGACAGAGCAGTATGGCAGAGATGAAGCATGTAGATGTTGTAAAGCTGGACGCTCATGTCCCACTGCACTTTTGGTGCACACATTACATAAAAACTACTGCTGAAATCCAATCAAATGTCTTTAAAAAACTGGGACTTAAACGTGTAACACATACCCAGAAATCGGCCCTCATTGTGTATTTCTAGCTGCCATATACCAAAGGGCTTTTCTCCCCAGGTATGGACGGACATGAATGGCCAGGCCTGAAAACCAGCACGTGAGACATCATGAGGACGACGGGCTAATAGCGTGGCACGGGTTCCGGCTGGAGATGTTAGGTGGATTTGAAGATCACCTCTTCTAGCTGATACAAGACTCACCTTAGCCTGTAAGATGGAACCAATTTACTTCATTACTTATGATAATTTACATATTACAGTATATACAGGTTGTCTGCTTCTGTAGAAGGTCAAGATACTCACAGCTAAGTCTGAAGATGATCTACAATAACTAACTAACCAACTTCATGGAGCTGAGCCCTCCTTGGAAAGCCATCAACTGCACAGCTGAAGTAGATCTACAATACTCAGTTTATTTGGGGTCCATAGCAGTTGTACAGGTTGTCCTATGGGTACTATAACTTCAAACAAGTATTTCTATGTTCTTATAAAACAGAAAGACCTAAAGACTATAACTGGAGAAATTTTAAAAATGTTTCCCTAACAATTTTTTTAAGCACCAACTGTGATGAAGAATATACTCAGAAGATTTTTAAACAAGAAATACCTGTTCATCTCAAATACTGCTGAACAAGGGCTGAACATGGACATATTCATAAGTATGTCATATATTTTGTTCCAGGGTGATTTATTTTAAATTAAGCTATGTCTAGTCCTTATATGCAGTATAAGTATCATTCCCAAGAAAATGATATGCAGAAGTTTGATACTTAACAAGAAACAAGTAAGAAGTGTATGCAGCAATAGCTTTCCCATGTAAGTAAAGGGAGCTTCTCATTTCTCCATGGTGTGTGTGTGGCAGAAGCAACATGATTTGGGAAAATGAGAAAATCACATTCACCTACTTTTATTATCTTATCTCTCACTATGACCTTGCCCTTGATCTTCTGCTGAGGCTTTATCTGGAACATATATCCAGTTCTGAACACAGCCATCCCAACACTCATGTTGAACTAACAAGCACAATTTCCATAGTTCTGTGTGGTGATTATATATAATGAATTAGGAAGACTGGGAGAAAAGTTGCTTTGTTTATTATATATTATAATAAAATGTTTTTCACAGAGAGATCAATGAAGAACAAAATAATCCATTCAGAAGAGGTAGGTCCATATGAGGGATAAATTATTTACTTTCCTTATATAAAATAGGTGTTCCTATCACCTATAACAGAACATCAAGTTTTATTTTTAACATTACATTCAAAATATAGTAATGCAGGTACATGCAATTCTAGGTAATTCTGACATTTGAACATGGAAGGTTTCTGACCTGTTACTCTACAAGTGAAAAATTCTGATAAAATCCATTCTCTAAAAGGTAAAAGACATTCTCTGAAAATTGAAAGTTGCATTTTGTATGCTTACCTGAACATGTTCAAGGAAGTTTACACCAGCACACTCATTTACATGAAGCTGAAGACTTACATGACTCTTTGCTGGTATAAGTCTGAAATCATTACATGAACATGTAATAATACCTTATTAGAGAAAGAAAATACATCCAAATGTTCTATGGCATGACTAACTGAATATAACATGGGAGACTTCTTCTGACTGAAATAACTCACTGTACAGATAAAATATCCAGTACTTATGTCAGAAGAACAACATATTGCAGGGGTCCAGCGTTTGGAATAGTTATGCAGAGTTTATCCATAAGAAATAAATTTTCACTCAGCAAATCTGTTGTCAAAATGAATTATCCAAATAAGATCTAAAAGCTGCGTTTAAAATAAAAACAGGACAATGGATAATGCCCACAAACACAACAGCTGAATTACCAAAAGTTTATCCAGAAGTAAACATTTTTTCCATAAGAGAATTTGGTGCACATACGAATTACTTCCTACAAAAGATAACTAATTTCCACCAAGGAAATTAATTATATAGAAGAAATATCCAGTATTTATCCAAGAGGAACTATTTCTCACTGAGGTAATTCACAGTCTAAATGGATTAACACCATGCATATTTATTTTTCTCCTTATCCTTTCTCTTAGAATGAGCTAATCTCAAACTTACTTGTCTATGTGTGGTGCAGAAACCTCACATTTGTGCTGCTCTGGTACAGTTTTCCAATTGCGAGCCAGCTTCACCATTGCATAAGCATCCATCAGCCCATAACCGAAGGAATGGCTCACTGAAACATATAATAATAATAATAATTTTTACCATATGGCAATAATGCAATAACTACACTCCAGACAGCCATAGATTTAATCTCCCTAAAGAGTTTTGTAAAATACAAAAAGTAGAACACATTCTCTACATACTCTCTTACATAAATGATGATCTAACTTTCAGATGGTGGACAAAGCTCTAGTGGCTAAGTAAGGGTGTGATACAGTCATGACATATGAAGTATAAGAATCATTGATCAAATATATTTTATTGTAGATTTTCTTAAATTGGTGGGAAAGCTGGAAAGAAAGAGACCACAGGGAAGACCAAGGCATAGGTGGGTGGACAATATTAGAATGATCTTAGAGAGATAGGATGGGATGGTATGGATTGGATAGATCTGGCTCAGGATAGGGCTCTTGTGAACATGGTAATGAACCTTCGGGTTCCATAAAATGCTGGGAAATTCTTGAGTAGCTGCAGAATTGGCGGCTCCTCAAGAAGGGCTCAGCTCCATGAGTAAGTAAGTAAGTAAGTAAGTAAGTAAGTATGTAAGCCTTTCTTATTATACTTAAGCATCCTGTTGCACTCTACATGATAAATGACACAAACTCCGTCCCAAGTGCAAACAATATATATTATATGTCTTTGGTCTTGTTCTCTTCCACACTACATGTTTCGGCCTCTATCGGCCATCATCAGGTGTATACTCTTAACGTTGCTGCCACACTGAACCCAGTCTAAAATTTAACATTTAAAAAACACATTGTTATTTTCTTCGTATTATCAACATTTAAAATTTAAAATTTAAATTTTAAATTTAAAATTTAGAGAAATTTTAAAGGATTTTAAAATCATAACTAAAGATTTTATAGTGCTACTACAGGAAAATCAAATTTGACGTGTGCAATATAATCTACATACCAGACACATATCAACGAGGTAGATGTTGATAATACAAAGAAAATAACAATGTGTTTTTTAAATGTTAAATTTTAGACTGGGTTCAGTGTAGCAGCAACGTTAAGAGTATACACCTGATGATGGCCGATAGAGGCCGAAACATGTAGTGTGGAAGAGAACAAGACCAAAGACATATAATATATATTGTTTGCACTTGGGACGGAGTTTGTGTCATTTATTAAGCCTTTCTTAAATTAAATTTTTAACTATGGATTTGAGCTTCAGATAATTAAGATAACTTTCAAAAACTGCAGTAACAATTTTCGATCAGTTATCTACAATTCAAAATGAGAATATATGTAAAAACACAAAAATAAAATCAAAACAGACAATAAGCAATGAAATGTTTCACTGAAAACAGGAAAGTCAACATAAGGGGACAGAACAGGTATGACAATGTGTTTTAAGCATCTGAGAACTCAGAAGAGTATCGAAGAATCAAAATGGAAGTTAAGAGTGAGCCCAGTGAAGTTGTAATGATACCTGAATGCCTAAATGATGCAATATGGTATATCATGGATTCACAGAGAGAACTAAAATAGGTTTTACAAATATAATTTCAGTGCAGCAGAGCTAAGAAAGTTGTGGTAAATGACTTAGGTTATGATTTTATAAACATTTCCACCCTCTCCTTATTGTAGAAGGTAGGAGCACCCTTGAGGTGGATTCTGATGGTCCCAATATTTCAACAAAGATCAGAACATCTGACTGAAGAGTTCTACAGCATAATATTAAATTCTCAACTCAGGTGGGGGCCTTGTACTTCCATACTGCCAGGGTATGCAGAGATGAAGGTGTTAACTAGAATTCATATCAGGTCTCAATTCAGATAGGAAGTTGGACCCTGCAACGGGCAGCAATTAATCACATAAGATTTGCAGGTAACCACAGAAAAAATGCATGTTATGAGTCTTTTCGGTTTATACTTTCATGGTAATGACAGAAGTTCTTGGGACTGAACTGGAGAAGGAATTTAATCATAAACTTGCTTCACATTTTATATCTTACAGTTCCTGTTTGATACTTGGCTTTGCAGCCCTGTAAAAAAATCTATTATGGAAAGCTTTATTTACATGGTAACAACTAACTATAGATGATACACATGCTACTAGTAGCAGCAAGAAAAGATGGTTCACCATTAATATAGCTGGCTTTACAAACAATCACAACTGACAAGCAAATATTTTTGAAGAATATGTATGACAATTTTGGAGTCAGGATAGCTACAACTGGCTACAGGCAGGATGGCTGAGGTGCTGGGAGTTCAAGTCCCAGTAGGGCCAAGATTTTTTCTTCTCCACGTCATACAGGCTGGTTCTGGGGCCCACCCAGCGTCCTATACAATGGGTGCTGGGGCCCCTTACCTCCAGGGGTAAAGCAGCCGGAATGTGAAGCTGACCAATCATCTTCAACTAGTGCTAAAGTCAAGAAATCGTGGATCTACATATCTACTTCTCCACACAACTTCATGGTGTAGTTTTTAATTAGTTAAGCACAGGGACAACTTTGCTCTTTTTTATATAACATCATCATATCAAGGTTGAAGCTCCTATGAGGGAGGCTCACTGTACCCAGTGTTGAGCGGGTGATGAGGAGAATGGGTTACATAAATTAACATGGATGATAAACTAGCTTGACAGCCTGCTATTCCTTGTTTCCATGGTTTTACCTTTATCAGAGGTAAATGATGTGAAAGGTATGTGGAAAACTCTGACTGCATGTGGCTAGTATCAATCCAAAGAACTTCAGAACATATATCCTTAATCCTAGACAACTACCTCTGTTTAATTCATTACAACTGAGCAAATATTGTCTCTAACATTTACTTTGAATAAAGTATAATATACTGTGGTGAAATCCAGTAACTCACCATTTCTCCCAACACCATTCACCTTCCAGTCAGAAGACTTGAGATTGGCAGGGCGTGCAGTGCGCACCACAATATGCTGCATATCTCGCCATGTTAGTTCTCTGTTTGATTCCAGTGCCAGGGCACAGATGCCGGCTGCCAAGGGTGCAGACGCTGATGTCCCAGTGTGACTGCTGGTACACTGGTGATGTAAATCCGTTGTTACAACCTGCAGAGTGTGAAAACACGTACACTTGCAGTAAGACACTACACTGACTTCTGCGTTGAACAGTACAATAAACAACCTATTACTTACTTTACTTACTCATGGAGCTGAGTCCTTCTGGAGTAGTCACCAATTCTGCAGCTACTCAAGAATTTCCCAGCATTTTATGGAACCCGAAGGTTCATTACCGTGTTCACAAGGGCCCTATCCTGAGCCAGATCTATCCAATCCATACCATCCCATCCTATCTCTCTAAGATCCATTCTAATATTGTCCACCCACCTACGCCTTGGTCTTCCCTGTGGTCTCTTTCCTTCTGGCTTTCCCACCAATATCCTATACGCATTCCTCGTCTCTCCCATTCATGCAACATGACCTGCCCACCTCATCCTCTTTGACTTGATCATTCTACAATAAAGAACCTATACTGTTTAAAAGTATTCAGCTATTTGTGAATTACACTGTACATTACACTAAAAATTATTTCCTTACAGGGACTTGATGTATGGTGCCACAGTCCATGCTATGAGAGACTTAACTGTATGAGCAATCTTCTCATGTGACTGTATACCTGTTTCTCCCCAGATGCTCCACTGCTATATGTAGTTGCCAGAGTTGAGCTGCATGCCTCCGAGTACCAAGGAACATAACCGTTCTCTGTAGCGCTACTGATGGACAGTGTCCAGATGGAATTGGTGTAACCATCACAGTTGCAATTATCATGATCACGACCTCCATTACCAGATGCCCACACAAAAATAGAACCTTTGCCAGATCGACCCTGTAACAATCAGATAAATGTTGAATTAAAAAAAAATATGACAAAATGAAGATATAATTGTGTAGAAGAAAAATGTATGACCCAAAGCCTCCCTAGGGGAGGGAACTGGAACTGTAATCACCGTTAAATTTCTTTCTGGGCTCACAGCCAATTTTTCTTCATTTCTTGGACTACAAGCTTTACATTCAATGTCTGAATGAAATGGTAAATAATTCCAAAATGTCCTTTAATGCCTGATTTCCAATTCTCCTTTTATACCAGCACATCATCATAATATATATGTTATTTTCTATACACTGTTGGAGGAATCTTCAGCTGACATACTTTCGCCAGATGCAAATTCAATCTCCACTAAGTTCTTCTTCTCCTCTTCTGGGCAGCTAGCTACATGTACACATTTCTGGTAACATTATGCACATTTCCTCAGCTTTAGACAAACCTGCACATTTTACATAGTTCAGTGGAGCTCAGTAGCACCAATGTCAAATAAGTTATATGTCATTCAAACTACATCAGGTTTATTTCATGTTTAATTAGTCATGGTTCAGTTACATAGATTTCAGTCAGCTTGGCTTAGTTTACATCTGTTTAGATGAGGTAGTAATATTTATGCAGATTCAAAACAGTGTTTTGTAGTTACAGCTTGTAGTTAAATATGATATCTTTTTGTAACAAAAGGATTATGAATATTTACACTTTTAAATGTGCTATTTGTACTCTTACTTCAGAGTTTTCTGATTCAGTGAGAAGGCAAACAAACAATATGTATCATAAGGATTATTATTTTCCATCTCAATCACCTGATGAGTAAGCTCCATTTCCCATATTCAGTAAAAGAGCTTTCTTTATTCACTAAGACAAGATTCTGTAATCGAAAAAAATCAAACTATACTAAACATACAAATAACATATTTCTGGACATTATCAATCATTATGTCTTTATCTAAAAACACTGTTCTCTTTATATTACAAAACACAATGTTTCAGAGACTGCGTTCTGTCTTCATCTTCAGGTAAAACCTACTCAGTTGGGCCCAATTCGTAGAGCTAGTCCCTATCTCTGTTGTGTTTGTAATATAAACAGAACAATGACAGACAGGGCAATGAATATGTCCAGAAACATAATATTTGTACTAATGGACCACTGTCACAAACTTTCAGATCGTATATACTAAGTATACACCTATCTAACCTTGTTTCAAGACTTCATCTAAATTTTCATGTTAAAATGTTAAATATTATTTCAAAAAGCTATATTATTATAAAACTTCACCTGTATTTTACACCCCCCAATAACACCCACTAATAAGACAGAGAAGTCATTAGAGTGATATTCATGTTGAACAAAAGCAATCTGAAAACAAAATGGCCCACAAGGGTATATAAAATTAATGTTTACAAATTACATGTGTCAGTAAAATTCTAACTGTTTTTTCAGCCTACTATCCTTATTTTGAAAATATAAATGTAGGCTTATGAGCTCGCCAAGCTGTTTTATTTATCGAGTTCCTTGATGTTCCATCATTTGGCAACATGTTAGACTAAACAGAAATGCAGAAGAAAGTAGGAAAGTTAACAGTATGGAAGTTTATAAAACAAATGATGAGATATCCTACTGAATTCTCAATGATTATTACACTAGTATTACTTCAAGACAATTTACATAATAAACTTCAATATAAAAACAATTATTATTGTAACAGGCATGTTTAAAGTCATGATAATACCTAAGGATATGATAAAAATATCCATATATTACTTCAATTTTCAGTGCCAAATAGTGAATCTACTTCTGTAAGTGTTGGTCAGACTGTTTACAGAAAGACATATCAAGTTAGAGTATGTTGTTACTAATTTGGCTGCTTAAAACAATCAATATTTCCACAGACTGTATTTGTGATTTTGCTATTCATCAGCTGTTTTCAAGACAAAATTCTTGTCAGTTTGAAACACAGCTAGTAAGAATACCAACTGGAAGGGTTCTACATGAGGGAGTAATTAGTGACATGATCTGAAACAATGCGTTCATTAAGATTTAGATTAGAATTCATTTATGAAAACATCTGGATGTAAATGCAGGCTACTCAGAAAATACCTTAAATTTAATTGTTTATCGCTAACAGTCAAAAAATCTGGTCCCACTGGATTTATTCCATTAGCAGAGTTGAATAAAATGATGCCATGGGAGGAACATAGAGTATGATTGCTAAAGAAAACTAGGACACCATTAAAAAGAGGCTTTATGACTAACATTTAGCAGGATTACTACTGTCATTTAGAGCACTGGAAATGCTCTCTTTTATTGCATTATGTCTCAATGTGGTCTGCCAAGCAAAACCATTATCAGTGCCAAATAACATGTGTGTTAATGATTCAACTTTTCTGGTATAGAGAAAGAGGTGGGCAGTCTGCTTTATAAGAGGAATTACACATAAAAAAGGGCTGCATTTTTAGATACAGCCTGTTGCAAAACGAAAGAAAATTCCAAAAATAATTTTAAAGGTTATGATTTACAAATGTGTACCCATTTTATTGAAATCAAACCATCACAATGGGGTCACCATTAATAACTGTGACAGACAGAATCTGGTGATCCAGAACCTAAAACACTGAAAATGTTGAATGGGCAGAGAAATTTTGTTCTCAGCTGTGAACTCTGTGCCAAATTTCATGAACTCCATCAAAATAATGGTGTATTCATAAATGCTATGAAATGTACTCATTAAAATTTCTTCATTTAGTAATCACACAACATATTTACTTACCAAATGATGATCTGATTTACTGTCTCCTTAAGAAGTTGTTCAAGAAACTACCTATTGTTACGAACTTTGAAGGCCATCATAATAGACAGGCACTTGACTTTGTCCTGAACAACTTCAATCCATTTAAAATCTTCACAACCAGTACACTACACTATTCTATTCTATTTTAATATAACCTCACTCTCCCATTTATATCTCCGTTGCCAAAGTGAACTATCCCTCTTTGTATATATTTCTGTACAACACTACATGAAACTCATCATTGTGCAGTTTCTTCTGTCCCTTCTTACAGCCTTTTTATTTTTTTTAACCCAAAATTCCTCCATATCAGTTTGTGTTCAGAAGAAACCAGCGTTCTTTATTCAGATTATGTAACAAACATTACACCAACACAACACAACTGTCAGAATTATGGTCTGATTTAAAGGGTTTACCAAAATATAAACCAGGTGCTTCCTTCTTTATAATCTAAATAAGAGAGGGATCATTTTAAAAACAAGAACAAAGCAAGCAATTTCGTTTGAGCAAATGTTTATATCAATGGTTGTTTTGATTTACTCGGTGTATTGTGATGTCAGCAGTTTGTGATTGAAGTATTCATGTTATTTATTTCGGAATATTATTATACAATGACTGTGGCAATGAAATAGTGGGTGGCAGGGAATTTCCCCAAATAATTTAAGTTTTGAGAATGGGGGTCATAATATGTTTCATTCAATTAAAAAAATGAAAAATATGTTTTATTATTTATAACCATGTATACTGCAGATGCATAAATATAGTAAGGTCATCATTGATCATATCCATGCAAAGTAAACAAAGTTACAGATGAATACACTGAGTGAAAGATGCAAACTGACATTTGATATTGGTTTCTAACCTTTGTGACACCTTCAATGAAAGCCCTTGTAGCCAGCTCCCCTGGGCCATCCACAGTCTTTCCGTCATCATCTGGTCCCCAGGAAGCACTGTAAATATCGATATGTTGGGGGTTGAGACTCAGAGATCTGGCCTCCACTGCATCAGTAACGTCCCCGTCCAGCATCCTTACACCTGCACAATGACAGTGATAAGGTTACATCAACAGTTCAGTTGAGGCCCACCAGTTACAATACATGGATCTTTATGGTCTAACCAAGTTAAGAAATGCTGGCACATTGCAACAATTTTGGTATGTTTACTCACCTTTGTTTAATTACCTTGAAGCTCATTAGACATCAACAAAAAGTGTAATGGTCATAAATTGTGTTTTTAAATAGTCTACAACTTCTGCCAGAAATATTTTTCATTCTAATGTGAATTTATTAAGTTCCACTTGGGACATGTGTGTTGTTGCTGCCCAGTTATTAAAAACAAACTGGAATGATTTAGAAAGCTCATCCCATTCTCAGGTCTCATGAAAAGGTGTTCAGCAATTCTTGAGTTGTTACATGAGGAAGAACAGACATGGCAAAACTAATAGGTGAAGTTATGCAATTTGCAAGAAAAGTTCTAGAAGCCACAGCATCTATCATGGAGGAATAATGCAGAGAGTTTAAACAGTAGTCTGTTGGTATCTGTGCCATTTCCCATCTTAGCACTGACAAAAAATATGTTCTAATTATGAAACATGGCATGCCATGCCTAGTGCTGGAAATCTTACAGAAAGTAAGTCCTGTGTGAATATATTTCAATGTCCCACAAGTGCATAAATAATGGAAGTATGTTGAAAATAGGATCTATTAACTTTCTAACGGTGATGAAACAGTCTACATCACTGACAAATGATAATAACCCCTTATTCTCTCATTAGAAGGAGCATTCCATACCTCCTAGAATGGTAAAAATGCCTTTACCCATTATTATACAAGTAATTTAGGTGCAACTTTATGGACCAAAACCATTATATCTGTGCAATATCACACCCAACTGGAATACACAGAGCTTCTTATAATTTTTTTATACATCTGAATAATGTGACCTTCAGAATAAACCCATTTATGTTATAAATGGAAAGAGGCAAAGAAAACAGATACAATAGAAATGAAAGACAGAACAGCCCGAAATCTGCATAATGAATAAAGCTAGTGTTGTCCTCCTTCATGGAAAGCTCGGATCTCATTGTAATGGTCCATGTTCTTACTCTGCAAGATACATTCGTCAGGAATGAAGATCTACATTTGTAGATACTCGAAGATAGCTGTGATACTCGTGGTTGATGTGATATACTCACCACCAACACTAGCGCCATAAGCGACGCCAACAGCGCAAAGAGAATTGTTGGCAGTGGCAGCAACCTCACCAGCACAGCGTGTCCCATGGCGGTTAGAGTCAATGAGGTCATATCGCGGCATTGGATCCTCATCATGATTGTTCACATCATAGCTCGCTTGTGGGTCCTGCAACAAATCAGCTCTTTGACTATATAAACTAACTTTCTGGTAATCGAACCCGAGGATCCTAACACAGCAAATATCACTGAAAATGATCTTGAACCAGTCAAACCGATTTGAAATTAGCCACATCAATTTCTAGAACACTGTCCAGTTTTTATTTAAAAACACAACGTTCCAGAGACTGGATTCTGTCTCCATCTTCAGGTTTTATTTGAAGAATCCAGTCTCCAAAACTTCGTGTCTTTAAATTAAAGCAGGATGGTGTATTAGACAGAAATGGGACGGTGGATGTCCTAAAACATACTATTTGTATTCCTATATCGAATTTGAACAAAATCTGTAAAACATCTTTATAAATAGGCGGTGTGTCCCCTTACTGTAGAACTTCTCCAGTGACAGATGCCTTGCTTGTATCTTACAAGCTTGCATTTGTAAACGTGATGAATGTTCATGANGGGGGGGGGGCTGTTAAGCCGAGTCATGACATCACTTCAACTGGTGGTCTTACGCTGCCCCCACTACGTCTGGTGGGGGTGGCCGGTATACTCGTGATGTTTTACAAGGGTTAGGGGAAGGAAAGACGGAGGGTCCTTCCACGTGGCACTTTCCCTGATGTGGTTAGAGGGTTTGTGTGCTTCTTGGAACCGAAGACGGGTTTCTTGTTTGTTTTATGCTGCTATCAGTCAGTATCTCGGTTCTTACCGCTGAGTAGTAGAATGGCAGAGGTAAAGCTATCCCTGTACCTGGCCGTGGAGGCCCATAGGATGGTCAGACGTCGAGGCTCACACATTTTCTAGACAATCGACTCACAGATGGCGGTCAGGTTGTGAGCCTTACGTGCCGGCCGCCCTTTACCCTCCAGGAAGATGCCTGGTACTCATTTCTGCTAGAGGCTGAGTCGACCCCGGGACCATAGTGTGGCTGGAAGGATTAGGTCAACTGAAAAATCCGATGACCTCAAGGGGAATCGAACCCGCGACATTCCCGCTTGCAACACAGTGCCACAACCAACTACGTTACCGCGTGCACCTGAATGATCAGTTGATAATATTTAAATCAGCAGTGGACTAATCAAGGTATTACATTACCCCGGTATTTGCCTGGAGAGACCGAGGTATACCAAGGCAAACCTTGTTATCCCGTCCGAGGTCTCAACCGAGCACAACCCAAATACAATTCTTCAGTGTTACAGTTGTACCAACCGCTCGGTATGCCGGCAACACAACTGTATGCTCTTTAGATGGCGACTGTGTACTCTGCTTTCATTTCTTTGTTGGTTACTAGTGGCGCAGTTAGGGAATCACAGGCTGATACACAAACTGTGAAAGATCTGCAAGGAAGCAGCCGATGCCAAATCGAGGTACTAGCTTGTCACTTGCCTGGAGGGACTGAAGTAAACCAAGGAAATACCGCACAGAATAGGCGGTACCGCGGCCGAGATTCGAAATAACGACCTCTCGAATGCGTAGAACGTTACCGCTAAGCCAACCAGATACGCTGTTTCCATTCTATTTTTGTAATAACAGGCTCAAATGAACGAAACCAACTTCCGTAGTGACCGCCTCTGAAGGCCCAGGGGTATCTTAAGAATTTCAACTCTGTCTACGCGGTTGTCCTTCAGGCACTCCCCCAATCCCGTCTAACTCCTAACGCTGAACACAAGAAGCGCTCAGATGTCGGTTAATATTTACCATAAAATCTGGGCCCTTTGAAAGTCGAAGGGGAGCCCCAGCCGACCAGGGGCCCCTAAACAGGATGCATACATTGTTACTGTGCCAGAGTTTCTCATCTGTGGTTATGCAGCTGAACGCGCTCGGGGTAAGTAGTTCTAGCGCACAATTGTTACGTGAACTGTATTTTGTTTCGATTGACTGGGTGAAATATTTCGTTTTAATTACCGCATGTTGAAAAGTCTGGATGCGACACCGTATCATTTTTTTAAAACCTCGTCATTTAACGATGCGGTCCGTTTTGAGACTTCCTAGCATCGATCAAAGGATGACTAATGGATGTCAAGCAGTTGGTGGAATGAGAATTGGCAGGGGAAAACGAAGTAATCGGATAAAACACGCCTCAGTGTCAGTTTGTCCAGCATAACTCTCTTATGACCTGGCACAGGATCGGAACCGGACAACCATGGCGGAAAGGACGCCGTGTAGTCTGGTACTGAATACTGACATGGAGACACAACATCTTTTTAGTCGTCCCAAGTAACCAGGCCACTAGTGAGTCCACTGTGCACTCCAAATCTCGCAAGGACCATTCAGAAGGCATTTTTCTCAATGCTAGTGCCAGAGCTATCCCGACTGGGGACCTCCTCGTACTTACCGGCTCTGATCATGCAGGGCTGGTTTCTCTGCTCCATGCCTATGTAAAGCTATGGCACTGACAAAGTGCGGGATAGTCTCCATGTCTAGTGGCCAGTCAGCAGTCCTGTTACCAGTCTACACTATGTAGGCCCACACACAATCCGATGACTTTTCGTATAGTTTTTTTATTGCTAGTGGGGTGAGACTAAGTCCCTTTTACTGCGGCTACTTCTGACCTATTGTACCAGCCCCATGTGATAGGTGAGGGTAATTGTGGAGCAATTGGTGGAATGAAGATTGGCAGGGGAAACCGAAGTACTCGAATAGAACCTGCCCCAGCGCCAATTTGTCCACCATAAATCCCACTTGACCAGACCCGGGGTCGAACCCGAGCCGCCGCGGTGGGAAGCCAGCGATTAACCGCTTGAGCTATGACGCGGCCTCTTCCTATAGTTCACTGCAATTCTGTCGATACTGCGGAGGAAAGTAACTGCCTCCATCTTCATGATCAAACAACAGTCAACTGTGAACGCCGTGAGACCCCCAAATCTACTGTAGCTACTTTAATGTATATTCTTCGACTTAACAGGCTTTAGACAGATGTTTTCGAAAGCGTTATTGCACTGAGCAAACTATATATATATATATTCGTGTAATACAATTAGTGACTATGATATTACCGGAATACTGGAAAAGAGAATTTAATAAATATGCAAATAAAATTCAATTAAATGTAAAATATCGAAAACTTATGCTGGGTAGTTATTTAATACTCATGTCAGTGAACTGGTCGCACACAAAACCTGTAAAACGCATGACATATGTCAAATTGTAATTAGTGGAACAAACAGACTTTTTTTTATTTCTACTTCGAATGTAAAAATATATCGATGCAATTTTTCACATGTCAAAACAAATCCATGGAGCTGAATCCTTTAGAAGCTTACAGCTGCTGAGCTGCTCAACAGATTCCCAATATTCTGTGAAACCCGAAGGTGTTCACAATAGCCCGCCCATCTCCGGTCCTTATCCTGAGCCAGACAAATCCAACCGACACCCTCTCACTCTATTTCAAAATAACATTTGCGCCTAGGCCTTCCTTGTTCTCTTTTTCGGTCAGGGTAAAAGTTGTCCCTGTGCTTAACTAATTAAGCATTACGCCATGAAGGCGTATGGGGGAGCAGATGTACAGATCCACATTTTCTTGACCTCGGCACTAGTTTGAGGTGAATAGCCAGCTTCAAGCCCCAGCCGCTTTACCCCGGTACCCATTGGATAGGAGGCTCGATGGACCGCAGAGGGGGTCTGGACAACGTGGAAAAGAGAAAATTCTTGACTCTACCGGGACTTGAACTCCGATCTCCCGTCGACCAGCCTGTAGCCAGTCGCTATACCGACTGCGCTATCCAGGCTCATCTTTCATTCAGGGTTCTAGAGGAAGATATCGGGTTACTTATGCGTAAGATAAAATAAAAAAAAATTCTACTGTCACGATTTTAGTGCCTAGACATGGGCTTTGAATTGGCAATTGGAATTACTTAACCCTTACAACTCGTAAGTACAAGTAACTCTAACAGTCTCACTGATTTATACACTTTAAAAAGCACTACAGCACATGCTAAGTCGTCCTAGTCTGCTGTGTCGTCACCAGTAGTTGCCTAGCAACGACTGGACCCAATAGAAAACACTCTTTCTAACAGTTGCGCTCTTGTTGTGTACATATCCCTTGCCACGGAAACAGCTGTCACGTGTTGTTTACCGGTCATTGAGTAGCAGCGGATGGCTTCTAGTCATATATCGTCATTTTGTCATATCTTATGCCTTCTGAAGTTTCTGCTGGCTCGTACAATGTGGTGAGAATTTGAAGAGTATTATCTTCTGGTATGTGGCGCCCAGTAGTCCGGTAGAAGCCATCGACGTATCGGAGGAACGTGTTCCTGCTGCTTGCCTCTTGCTTGGCTTATTGTTCGACCCTGAACATGGAAGCAGTAACTTCCTTCGGAACGTCGGGAAACTTCATCCTATTTCAGCAAATAAAACTCTTCAGAGCCAGCTTCGTTAAAGTCTGTAGCTCAGTGAGGTAACAGTCTCGGGCTGTTCGGTAAGACGATTTATTATTTATTCTGGTTTTATATCTTACCAACTGCCTCGTTCGTTTTAATGCTTCATGAAACTTACGTATGCAGCCACATAAATTACTGTAATCCTAAGATACTGATGTGCAGTTACAGATCTTCCACCATAATAAAAGACGATGGAGAATCCGCGCACTCATTTGAACATGAGCGCTAGAAAGTTCGGGATGATAACGCCGTTGCAGATTCACTTACTTTCGAATCAGCACAGGAGGATGATAACGCCGTTGCAGATTCACTTACTTTCGAATCAGCACAGGAGGCTATTTAGATCGAACGTGGACCCTATGACCAAAATTTCCTTTCGAATCAGTCTGTGATGTGCACGGATGGTATGTAAGGTTAATCTATAAACCTCTCCCCCGCCCATCAAGCCCACGGAACGTGGCACTTTTCCCCTCAGTATTTATGGGAGACACGTTTTACAAAACAGCAAGTGGTCTGGCTTGCGTCGGCATAGTCCCCCTGAGAAAAGAAAAACGATCATCAGAAATGGGTCTTTGCTGAGTACAGAGTTTCCACTGAGGCAAACAATTTGCACTGTAATGTGTCTGCCTCA